CTGCCAAGAGCAACTATAACTCCTTCTTCTAACATTTTTCTAGCTCGAGGTTGCTTCAGTCTAGTGGGAAAAAGACAGTTGTCAGTACAAGTCACTTAATTATTACATGATGAATTACAAGAGCAAAAGTCATCACTCGGCTTGGCTACATTCATGCCTTCAGTCACACTAATTCTTTGGGAGACAAAAGGCCGAAGTCTCCACTTGGCTCCCTCCCAATCACCCTACACACAGCATAAATGGGATGCGTGGCCTACTGCTTTTGAAGTAACAGTACATGGCAGCAGCAACTATCGAGCACCAGGCTCCAGGCCACTGAAATTCTGGTATTTCTCCAGACCTCAGCCACTTGGGGAAGGAGCTACAAGGTGAAAATCTTTATTTCTCAAAGAAGTAATTTTTTAGCCCTTATACCTTCCAAGACAGGCTACTGAACATGAGCAGTGACAAACACAATGCAACAGTCCCTTCCCAAATCTGTCAGTAATTTGAAATAGTAAGTTGAGGCTGTGACTTTAATTTGTATACATTAGAGGACTTTCTCACTTAGCAATGTTAATGCAAAAGATATCTGCAATAACTGCAATATCTGGAATAGCCACTTCAAAATTGTTCGGCCACTGGATTAATCTGAGTAGGTGTTTGCAAGAGTGGGTGCCAGCCATAGGAAAGACACTCTCTATGAAGTTTTTGCCATAGTTGCTGTAAAGCAAACAGCACCAAACATGTATCTGGAAATAAACCACTGTAACCATAAAAATGAAACACTGGAACATCTGTTGCTCAAAAAGTAGTTTGAGAATCACTGCAGTTAACAGAAAAGAATGATAAATGAGATCTCGATGAAGTATTTACATTCTGTATAAGACAACCCTCTCTCTCTAGAAGCCTCTTAGATTTATGAGAAAATACCTTCTGCTCCTGCACAGCACGATGCCTTGGGAGCTTTCTGTGTTGTTAGTCAGAGGTCTGAGCTCTCACCTTTGGAGCTGAAGGAACTGAGGGAGGTCACCAAAGGATGTACCACATCATCTCCTAGCAACTTCCTATACATTGCACAGCCTTGGGCCCTCTACTACTCTTTTAACTGGTCATCTGTTACATCCCTTCTTCAATTTTAAAGTGTATTAGACTGAGAGGCCTGTGTTCTGTAAATAGTGCACCTTACACTGGACCAAATGAGGCCTCATTTCCTACAGTTTGTCATTATGCCTATCTTAGGCTTATCGTAAGGTTATAGGCTTTCCACCACCTGGAATCCCTGGAGCAACATGTGAGATATAGCCACAGCCTCTTCCACAAGTGGCTGCATCTCTGTTGTCTCCTTTACCTCCCTGCCTGGGGTCACTTTGCAGGACCACACGTCCTCCCTGCAAGCTGTGTTCTGGTGGTGCACTTAGTTGCAATCAGCCAGTGGTTGCAAAGCACTGGTGCAGGGCATGGACCACTAACCACAAATAGAAACACAGGCATGGACACAGATGTGAACACAGGTGGCAATGACACAACCCCTGGTGCCTCAGCAAGCAGGTGAAAATAAACCAAGATTAGCTCAAGGATCTTCACAGGAGGGAAGGTCTTATTTAGTTGTGGTCCTCATCATCCAGTTGGGTTATTTTTGGCTTTAGGAGTAAACAGGTGATCCATCTATGCTTATCTGGAATATCTGCATATGGAAAAGCAGTGTTCTGAAGGCAACTGCTCAATGTTGCCTGGGTAAAATCAGGTGAGATTTTTTAAATGCTCACCACAGTGTTTCAGTGCTTTAGATAAACAAAGGATTCATTTCCCAGCAAAACCTTCTGCAAGAGAGGAAATACATAAATTGCAGATATAATTTGCCTGAAAAGAAGCCAATTGAGTTTTAAAAAGTTAAGTGGATTAAAAAAACAGTCTATTTTTCTTCTTAAATGAATACCTGATTATCAACTTTGCCTGTCATAAGAGTTAAATTCAAATGTTGACTGAAACACTCCAAATGTACTGTGAGACTTCTCAGAAGTAGGGCATTGCTTCATTTTTTAGGATCTCCGTCAAAACCAACAGGGGTAGGCTCATTCAGTTCTTAGTGATAGTCTCCACTAATGCAGACAGATCCTCAAGGCACAGTCTTATGTTTTTACACTAAAAGACCCTAAAACCACAAACATGGTTTTGCTGTTACAAACGTTTTCATCCCACCTAATGGCCTTACCTTAGCATGTAGGCAGTTGTTGGTAAAAGGACAGCAGCACACTTAGCTCTTGCCATTGCTGTGATCCCTTCATCACTAACTTCTTCCAGGTGGCTGATAGCTCGGGCTCCTAGTTCAGCTCCAAGCTAAGCAGGTTTTCAAGAAAATCACTCACTGTTCTCAATTAATTCAGTAAAGCAATGTTGTTGTCAAATGACTGGTGGAGACATTTCACTATTGATACAAAATTAACTTAAGGAAATAACAAATGCTTGAAAGAACAAACAAAATGCAGAGACAAAACGTTTGTGAATTTACTGCAGGAAAAGTCAATCACAAAAAGGTATTAAACCATCCACTGACTAAAAGCACACGTTCAGTGGTGCTTTTAATGGATGAACTTGAGACAGGCATGGATAAAACCACTATCAACTCCTGGTTACAAAGTATCCAGCAGAAAAGGGTTGACAAAACTGACACTGGCTGCAGAACTAGCAGTGTGGCTGCTGTCTTCAATAGTGAAGCACCAAAAAGGCTTTTATGATCAATCAAATTTTTGTTTTGGTTTTGGTTTTCTTTTCTTTTTAAAACAGGAGCAGACCCCACAGGAGAGAAGTGATGCTAAAAGGAAGCTGAAACATAGTCTTAAGAGTGATTTTCTTTATCAAGATATTTAGGAGCCTACTCTTGACTAAACCCTGCCTCTCAGTGTGTTCGCTGCACATCTGACTTTTTGCTACTAACAGGACATTTAAGGAAAAGGGATTTTTCTCTTTGCACAGAAACTCTGTTTTTGTCATTCTTGGGTTCATGGATATCCACTTTTCCCATCTGTATCCCATGTGGAAGATAAGCAAAGTCAATGTTTGATTAGTCAGCACGTTAGTCTCAGAGGTCAAGGCTTCCTCCCATGTCCTTAACGCTGAAGCTGCACAAGGGCTGCACTTTCTGATAGAAATAGATGTCTATGAATGATCTATTTTATAAAGTCTTAGAAAAGAAAACCCTGGTTTTGAAAACTGCAATTCTTTCAAAGATTCAGCTCTCACAAAAGCAAAACAGAAGCAAAAATGGCCTAAGTGAATATGAAGAAAGACATACCTCAGCAGATTTCATTGGATGGAGTTCATCTCCATGGAAGTTAATCTGTAACCCTATATCTTTTCCAGCTTGAAGAATTCTCCTAGTAGACTCCAGATCAAAGACTCCCTTCTCACAGAACACATCTATATTGTTAACATGTATTTCACCACTTAGTTTGAGTTCTTTCAGCCTAGGGAGATGGTTATTGATAATGTCATCTGTGGCTTCAGCAGCAGTTTTCCCTCTGACAAAAAGAAAATGTTACAGACCCATAAGAATAATTCCCTTGAAGTCTGGAAAACATTCAAATTCTACATGCAATTACTAGGTTCTTTAGAGAAGTACACAAATCTCTCAAAAACCCTTCAGGTTAAAGAATTTAAAATTACTGTAATTCATGTGCTGTCGAACACTAATTACTTTCCAGTCAAAGAATATTAGATTGCATTGCTAGATATTTTTTATCAGGTTACCTTACTGGATGCTAACCAAGACATGAGAATTTTAAAATGAATTCTTCCATTTTCCTATTCCTATATTCTGACCTACTTGTACTGAATTCTAAAATGCATTTTAAATATGTAAATGATTATGCAAATATTTAACTGGCATTCATGCAATGTTTTAATGCAAGAATCAAAGCTGTAGTGGTGATATGCAGCACAAATAATTATTTTATATTGACCTCTCCTCCTTTTATATCATTCAGAGTGATAGCTAAATAACAGGTTCCAAACGAGAAGGGCCTCTCGAGGTTTGATTCCCCCAAGTCAGAGCCATTTATAAATCCCCTACTACACAAAGATAACTCAGAAGAGATCAGTAAATGCCTTTGTAAGAGCAAACAATCGTCAAATCTGAGTTAATATTTTGCAACCTTAAGCTCTAAAGATAAGTGAGGTATTTCAGCCAAGTGTCTGTGACATCTCAATCCTCATTCCAGGCACTGGAAGGCAGGCACAGACCAGCTTTATACAAATGCTACGTGGGGGTGAGTTGGGAGTTTTACAGTCGCAGCAAGTTCAAGAAGCCAAATTCTGCTTGGATTTATAAACAAAGTTGTGCAGTTATAAAGCAAAGCAGAACTCTTCTTTTGTTCTCCTCTCACTGAAACAGCCATTGGGGCTGCTCAGGCTTTTGCCATGCCAAGCCTTTTCTTCTTTTCCTCTGCAGCCTTTGGAGGAATTTGGATTGAAGGATTAGGACCAGAGCCAAAGAAAAAAAAAAAAAAACACACAACAACAACAACAAATATCTGCTGAATTTGAGACTGAGCAGATGCAGGAGCTATGAATGTTTACTCAGGATGCTGTGGCCTTCCAGCATCCACAAGTGCCAATCCAAATGTTCATGTTTGAGACCCTGGCCCTTTGTCACAGGTCACTTGACATCACTCTTCTTGGATCTTACTTGGATCCAAACTTTTTCATTCATTCATGGGTTTTTTGTTTTGGTTTGGTTTTGTTTTTTTCCAAAAGTATAATAGTTTTATAGATTAAAATTGTATAGGAAAATATGTTTTTAAACTGTCTTATTTCAAATAGGTGCAACTCAAAATTATTTTTATTCAGTGGAGAGAACAATGGACATGAAGATGCACCAGATGTGTAATGCTCAGTAAACTTTATTTGAATACAATAAAGCTGGAAGGCAATTTAGCAGTAAATACAAATCTGATTTGTTGTTGCTTTGAAATATTCAATGATAATTAGACTGTAGTTGCTTCCTGAATTACTGACCTCTCTCAGTAACTGCTAATTGTTCCACACCTCTCATTTTGATAGACGACTTTTCCTTTAACTATAACATAGTCGATCAATGCTTCATGTCCCCCAAACTGGTAAATCAAGTGCTCCCACCTACAAAGACAGTTAAGATGTTTAAGACTTACATAAAAGCAGCTCAGTAGTATACCTGGCAATTACAAAAATTGTGTGAACCACCAGAAAGAACTATTCCATGTTTACATGTTGATCTCTTTGTTTCATGAATACAGTGAATTAATGTACAAATCAGTACATAATTCCTTCCCCAAAATAACCAGGTAATATCTTTAGAGAATTTGTAATTAGGCACAGATTATTTGTATTATTAGCCCAATAAGTTTTAGGCTTTATTTTCCACTGGAGTGATTAAGGTGAATGAAAGTGGGTCTAAAATAAGTGTCCCTTTTTTTCAGATTAAAATAACCTCTAAAGCACAATAAATTAATTAACCTCTCCACTTATCCACAATTTGGTGAAAAACAAAGTCCCTTATGTTAAATCCCATTTCAAATGACAATGGAAGAGCAAACCTTGATGAATTGATGATCACTAGATCCCCCTGCTTGCCAGTCTCTATGGAGCCATGTGTGTCTGATTTTCCCAGAGCATAAGCAGCATTAATGGTGGCGGCTGCTAGTGCTTCATTCATAGACATCTTCATGTTTACACAGGCCAGATGCATCACCATGGGCTAGCAGGAAAGTTAAGTGGAAAATGGGAGTTACCAGTAACACAAACAAAGCTGTTCATGCCTCAAATCTCTAAGCACTCTCCTCCCTCCTTGTGCAACAGAAGGAGTTGTCCTGCATAACATAAATCTTGCCAACTCCAAAACCAAAGCTCTGAAATCAGGACCTTTGGGAGCCTTTTTTATAAGCCTCTCAGTGTATATGAAGAATGGAAGCCCTTCTGGTTTCCAAAATTTCTGCCAAAAACTACGAACCTGCATAAATAAGCATAAGCGATTGTCAAAGCTGGGCACAGAGCTCATTAATACAATTTTAACTGTGCAATACCTATAACCAAGCTTTTCTGGTAAGAGACTTCATAATTTTCTGTTGTCATAAGCATGAGGAATAGCTTACCATTGAAAAACAGTATGCATTAGGATTGAAGTCACTGCCAAGAGCAACTATAACTCCTTCTTCTAACATTTTTCTAGCTCGAGGTTGCTTCAGTCTAGTGGGAAAAAGACAGTTGTCAGTACAAGTCACTTAATTATTACATGATGAATTACAAGAGCAAAAGTCATCACTCGGCTTGGCTACATTCATGCCTTCAGTCACACTAATTCTTTGGGAGACAAAAGGCCGAAGTCTCCACTTGGCTCCCTCCCAATCACCCTACACACAGCATAAATGGGATGCGTGGCCTACTGCTTTTGAAGTAACAGTACATGGCAGCAGCAACTATCGAGCACCAGGCTCCAGGCCACTGAAATTCTGGTATTTCTCCAGACCTCAGCCACTTGGGGAAGGAGCTACAAGGTGAAAATCTTTATTTCTCAAAGAAGTAATTTTTTAGCCCTTATACCTTCCAAGACAGGCTACTGAACATGAGCAGTGACAAACACAATGCAACAGTCCCTTCCCAAATCTGTCAGTAATTTGAAATAGTAAGTTGAGGCTGTGACTTTAATTTGTATACATTAGAGGACTTTCTCACTTAGCAATGTTAATGCAAAAGATATCTGCAATAACTGCAATATCTGGAATAGCCACTTCAAAATTGTTCGGCCACTGGATTAATCTGAGTAGGTGTTTGCAAGAGTGGGTGCCAGCCATAGGAAAGACACTCTCTATGAAGTTTTTGCCATAGTTGCTGTAAAGCAAACAGCACCAAACATGTATCTGGAAATAAACCACTGTAACCATAAAAATGAAACACTGGAACATCTGTTGCTCAAAAAGTAGTTTGAGAATCACTGCAGTTAACAGAAAAGAATGATAAATGAGATCTCGATGAAGTATTTACATTCTGTATAAGACAACCCTCTCTCTCTAGAAGCCTCTTAGATTTATGAGAAAATACCTTCTGCTCCTGCACAGCACGATGCCTTGGGAGCTTTCTGTGTTGTTAGTCAGAGGTCTGAGCTCTCACCTTTGGAGCTGAAGGAACTGAGGGAGGTCACCAAAGGATGTACCACATCATCTCCTAGCAACTTCCTATACATTGCACAGCCTTGGGCCCTCTACTACTCTTTTAACTGGTCATCTGTTACATCCCTTCTTCAATTTTAAAGTGTATTAGACTGAGAGGCCTGTGTTCTGTAAATAGTGCACCTTACACTGGACCAAATGAGGCCTCATTTCCTACAGTTTGTCATTATGCCTATCTTAGGCTTATCGTAAGGTTATAGGCTTTCCACCACCTGGAATCCCTGGAGCAACATGTGAGATATAGCCACAGCCTCTTCCACAAGTGGCTGCATCTCTGTTGTCTCCTTTACCTCCCTGCCTGGGGTCACTTTGCAGGACCACACGTCCTCCCTGCAAGCTGTGTTCTGGTGGTGCACTTAGTTGCAATCAGCCAGTGGTTGCAAAGCACTGGTGCAGGGCATGGACCACTAACCACAAATAGAAACACAGGCATGGACACAGATGTGAACACAGGTGGCAATGACACAACCCCTGATGCCTCAGCAAGCAGGTGAAAATAAACCAAGATTAGCTCAAGGATCTTCACAGGAGGGAAGGTCTTATTTAGTTGTGGTCCTCATCATCCAGTTGGGTTATTTTTGGCTTTAGGAGTAAACAGGTGATCCATCTATGCTTATCTGGAATATCTGCATATGGAAAAGCAGTGTTCTGAAGGCAACTGCTCAATGTTGCCTGGGTAAAATCAGGTGAGATTTTTTAAATGCTCACCACAGTGTTTCAGTGCTTTAGATAAACAAAGGATTCATTTCCCAGCAAAACCTTCTGCAAGAGAGGAAATACATAAATTGCAGATATAATTTGCCTGAAAAGAAGCCAATTGAGTTTTAAAAAGTTAAGTGGATTAAAAAAACAGTCTATTTTTCTTCTTAAATGAATACCTGATTATCAACTTTGCCTGTCATAAGAGTTAAATTCAAATGTTGACTGAAACACTCCAAATGTACTGTGAGACTTCTCAGAAGTAGGGCATTGCTTCATTTTTTAGGATCTCCGTCAAAACCAACAGGGGTAGGCTCATTCAGTTCTTAGTGATAGTCTCCACTAATGCAGACAGATCCTCAAGGCACAGTCTTATGTTTTTACACTAAAAGACCCTAAAACCACAAACATGGTTTTGCTGTTACAAACGTTTTCATCCCACCTAATGGCCTTACCTTAGCATGTAGGCAGTTGTTGGTAAAAGGACAGCAGCACACTTAGCTCTTGCCATTGCTGTGATCCCTTCATCACTAACTTCTTCCAGGTGGCTGATAGCTCGGGCTCCTAGTTCAGCTCCAAGCTAAGCAGGTTTTCAAGAAAATCACTCACTGTTCTCAATTAATTCAGTAAAGCAATGTTGTTGTCAAATGACTGGTGGAGACATTTCACTATTGATACAAAATTAACTTAAGGAAATAACAAATGCTTGAAAGAACAAACAAAATGCAGAGACAAAACGTTTGTGAATTTACTGCAGGAAAAGTCAATCACAAAAAGGTATTAAACCATCCACTGACTAAAAGCACACGTTCAGTGGTGCTTTTAATGGATGAACTTGAGACAGGCATGGATAAAACCACTATCAACTCCTGGTTACAAAGTATCCAGCAGAAAAGGGTTGACAAAACTGACACTGGCTGCAGAACTAGCAGTGTGGCTGCTGTCTTCAATAGTGAAGCACCAAAAAGGCTTTTATGATCAATCAAATTTTTGTTTTGGTTTTGGTTTTCTTTTCTTTTTAAAACAGGAGCAGACCCCACAGGAGAGAAGCGATGCTAAAAGGAAGCTGAAACATAGTCTTAAGAGTGATTTTCTTTATCAAGATATTTAGGAGCCTACTCTTGACTAAACCCTGCCTCTCAGTGTGTTCGCTGCACATCTGACTTTTTGCTACTAACAGGACATTTAAGGAAAAGGGATTTTTCTCTTTGCACAGAAACTCTGTTTTTGTCATTCTTGGGTTCATGGATATCCACTTTTCCCATCTGTATCCCATGTGGAAGATAAGCAAAGTCAATGTTTGATTAGTCAGCACGTTAGTCTCAGAGGTCAAGGCTTCCTCCCATGTCCTTAACGCTGAAGCTGCACAAGGGCTGCACTTTCTGATAGAAATAGATGTCTATGAATGATCTATTTTATAAAGTCTTAGAAAAGAAAACCCTGGTTTTGAAAACTGCAATTCTTTCAAAGATTCAGCTCTCACAAAAGCAAAACAGAAGCAAAAATGGCCTAAGTGAATATGAAGAAAGACATACCTCAGCAGATTTCATTGGATGGAGTTCATCTCCATGGAAGTTAATCTGTAACCCTATATCTTTTCCAGCTTGAAGAATTCTCCTAGTAGACTCCAGATCAAAGACTCCCTTCTCACAGAACACATCTATATTGTTAACATGTATTTCACCACTTAGTTTGAGTTCTTTCAGCCTAGGGAGATGGTTATTGATAATGTCATCTGTGGCTTCAGCAGCAGTTTTCCCTCTGACAAAAAGAAAATGTTACAGACCCATAAGAATAATTCCCTTGAAGTCTGGAAAACATTCAAATTCTACATGCAATTACTAGGTTCTTTAGAGAAGTACACAAATCTCTCAAAAACCCTTCAGGTTAAAGAATTTAAAATTACTGTAATTCATGTGCTGTCGAACACTAATTACTTTCCAGTCAAAGAATATTAGATTGCATTGCTAGATATTTTTTATCAGGTTACCTTACTGGATGCTAACCAAGACATGAGAATTTTAAAATGAATTCTTCCATTTTCCTATTCCTATATTCTGACCTACTTGTACTGAATTCTAAAATGCATTTTAAATATGTAAATGATTATGCAAATATTTAACTGGCATTCATGCAATGTTTTAATGCAAGAATCAAAGCTGTAGTGGTGATATGCAGCACAAATAATTATTTTATATTGACCTCTCCTCCTTTTATATCATTCAGAGTGATAGCTAAATAACAGGTTCCAAACGAGAAGGGCCTCTCGAGGTTTGATTCCCCCAAGTCAGAGCCATTTATAAATCCCCTACTACACAAAGATAACTCAGAAGAGATCAGTAAATGCCTTTGTAAGAGCAAACAATCGTCAAATCTGAGTTAATATTTTGCAACCTTAAGCTCTAAAGATAAGTGAGGTATTTCAGCCAAGTGTCTGTGACATCTCAATCCTCATTCCAGGCACTGGAAGGCAGGCACAGACCAGCTTTATACAAATGCTACGTGGGGGTGAGTTTGGAGTTTTACAGTCGCAGCAAGTTCAAGAAGCCAAATTCTGCTTGGATTTATAAACAAAGTTGTGCAGTTATAAAGCAAAGCAGAACTCTTCTTTTGTTCTCCACGAAACCAGCCATTGGGGCTGCTCAGGCTTTTGCCATGCCAAGCCTTTTCTTCTTTTCCTCTGCAGCCTTTGGAGGAATTTGGATTGAAGGATTAGGATGGGAGCCAAAGAAAAAAAAAAAAAAACACACAACAACAACAACAAAAAAAAAAAAAAAAACACAAAAAACCAACCAAACCAAACCAAAACCAAAAAAAAAACCAGAGGGAAATGTAAGCCTTCATTTCACTTTTTTTAGGGGACATAATGCCCAAGAATGCCAACCTGCCATTGTTGTAACACAAGAGACTTCTGTTCAGAAAGCCACTATGAAAATGTCCTCCTAAAGAAGAAAAGGGCCCAGTGAAACCTTGCTGATTAAAAAGAAAATCACTCACTGTTCTCAATTAATTCAGTAAAGCAATGTTGTTGTCAAATGACTGGTGGAGACATTTCACTATTGATACAAAATTAACTTAAGGAAATAACAAATGCTTGAAAGAACAAACAAAATGCAGAGACAAAACGTTTGTGAATTTACTGCAGGAAAAGTCAATCACAAAAAGGTATTAAACCATCCACTGACTAAAAGCACACGTTCAGTGGTGCTTTTAATGGATGAACTTGAGACAGGCATGGATAAAACCACTATCAACTCCTGGTTACAAAGTATCCAGCAGAAAAGGGTTGACAAAACTGACACTGGCTGCAGAACTAGCAGTGTGGCTGCTGTCTTCAATAGTGAAGCACCAAAAAGGCTTTTATGATCAATCAAATTTTTGTTTTGGTTTTGGTTTTCTTTTCTTTTTAAAACAGGAGCAGACCCCACAGGAGAGAAGCGATGCTAAAAGGAAGCTGAAACATAGTCTTAAGAGTGATTTTCTTTATCAAGATATTTAGGAGCCTACTCTTGACTAAACCCTGCCTCTCAGTGTGTTCGCTGCACATCTGACTTTTTGCTACTAACAGGACATTTAAGGAAAAGGGATTTTTCTCTTTGCACAGAAACTCTGTTTTTGTCATTCTTGGGTTCATGGATATCCACTTTTCCCATCTGTATCCCATGTGGAAGATAAGCAAAGTCAATGTTTGATTAGTCAGCACGTTAGTCTCAGAGGTCAAGGCTTCCTCCCATGTCCTTAACGCTGAAGCTGCACAAGGGCTGCACTTTCTGATAGAAATAGATGTCTATGAATGATCTATTTTATAAAGTCTTAGAAAAGAAAACCCTGGTTTTGAAAACTGCAATTCTTTCAAAGATTCAGCTCTCACAAAAGCAAAACAGAAGCAAAAATGGCCTAAGTGAATATGAAGAAAGACATACCTCAGCAGATTTCATTGGATGGAGTTCATCTCCATGGAAGTTAATCTGTAACCCTATATCTTTTCCAGCTTGAAGAATTCTCCTAGTAGACTCCAGATCAAAGACTCCCTTCTCACAGAACACATCTATATTGTTAACATGTATTTCACCACTTAGTTTGAGTTCTTTCAGCCTAGGGAGATGGTTATTGATAATGTCATCTGTGGCTTCAGCAGCAGTTTTCCCTCTGACAAAAAGAAAATGTTACAGACCCATAAGAATAATTCCCTTGAAGTCTGGAAAACATTCAAATTCTACATGCAATTACTAGGTTCTTTAGAGAAGTACACAAATCTCTCAAAAACCCTTCAGGTTAAAGAATTTAAAATTACTGTAATTCATGTGCTGTCGAACACTAATTACTTTCCAGTCAAAGAATATTAGATTGCATTGCTAGATATTTTTTATCAGGTTACCTTACTGGATGCTAACCAAGACATGAGAATTTTAAAATGAATTCTTCCATTTTCCTATTCCTATATTCTGACCTACTTGTACTGAATTCTAAAATGCATTTTAAATATGTAAATGATTATGCAAATATTTAACTGGCATTCATGCAATGTTTTAATGCAAGAATCAAAGCTGTAGTGGTGATATGCAGCACAAATAATTATTTTATATTGACCTCTCCTCCTTTTATATCATTCAGAGTGATAGCTAAATAACAGGTTCCAAACGAGAAGGGCCTCTCGAGGTTTGATTCCCCCAAGTCAGAGCCATTTATAAATCCCCTACTACACAAAGATAACTCAGAAGAGATCAGTAAATGCCTTTGTAAGAGCAAACAATCGTCAAATCTGAGTTAATATTTTGCAACCTTAAGCTCTAAAGATAAGTGAGGTATTTCAGCCAAGTGTCTGTGACATCTCAATCCTCATTCCAGGCACTGGAAGGCAGGCACAGACCAGCTTTATACAAATGCTACGTGGGGGTGAGTTGGGAGTTTTACAGTCGCAGCAAGTTCAAGAAGCCAAATTCTGCTTGGATTTATAAACAAAGTTGTGCAGTTATAAAGCAAAGCAGAACTCTTCTTTTGTTCTCCTCTCACTGAAACAGCCATTGGGGCTGCTCAGGCTTTTGCCATGCCAAGCCTTTTCTTCTTTTCCTCTGCAGCCTTTGGAGGAATTTGGATTGAAGGATTAGGACCAGAGCCAAAGAAAAAAAAAAAAAAACCAAACAACAACAACAAAAAAAAAAAACCACAAAAAACCAACCAAACCAAACCAAAACCAAAAAAAAAACCAGAGGGAAATGTAAGCCTTCATTTCACTTTTTTTAGGGGACATAATGCCCAAGAATGCCAACCTGCCATTGTTGTAACACAAGAGACTTCTGTTCAGAAAGCCACTATGAAAATGTCCTCCTAAAGAAGAAAAGGGCCCAGTGAAACCTTGCTGATTAAAAAAAAACCAAACAAAAAAAACCCAATACAATCAGGCATCCCCAAAATCATTAATTAAGTTCAAAATGATGACTGGAGCAGTTATTTATATTATATAGACTGGATGACAGAGCAGTTATTTCTTTGTCCCCCTGCTGAGAGCTTCTTAGGCTCATATCCTAAAGAACTGGAAGTTCTGAGGCTGGAAATATTTTTTTTAAGTGATGGGCAGGAACAAGGATTAATACGAACAGAGCAGCCTTATTTTGCTCTAGGATGGCTCAGACTAAAGTAGCCTGCACTGTTTGGCACATAGTTCAGTAAGTACTGCCTAGTACCAATGCACTCTCCCACAGAATAACTGTGTTTGTAAGGACCCCTGGAGCTCATCTGATCCAGCCCCTGGTGCAGAGTAGGGTCAATTTGGATCATGTGTCAGTGGTGCCTTCAAGAAGCAGAAAATGGGACTGAATTGCCATATACCTAGAAATGTGAACAGATAAACACAGCAAGTTCTTAGATCTGCCCAAAGCTAACTTCCAGGTGGGAAGAAAGAATAGCCAGTGCTGGCAAGTCTGGAGGCAGGCTCCTCTTAAGCCTCCACATGTTGAAGCTTTACAAGACATGCCACATATTGCAAGACTTGGCTGTATCAATTACATGAACTTTCTGGTGATGCTTCTGCTGTAAGAGGTCAGACTTGCAACAGTAAATTAAGCCAAGTGTAAGAAGCAAGTAAATGACTTAGGAAGAACTTAACAAAGCTCCTCATGGGGGTCTAAGCATGGGGGTCTGTGTGTTCCAAGAACACACAGAACTTCGCTCTCTTGTTTCACATGAAATAGAATTACTTAAAATTGATTCTATGTTAGCAAATTGGATGTGGCAATGATTTACAATAAATGCAAGCAATTTGCATGATTATGGTCATTCCAAAATAATCAGAAGACTGTTAGACTTTCAATGGCTATCTAGTCAAGAGCTGCCATTAAGTACCTACAACAAAACGTCCTCCCAAGGCATTTTAGGGGAGAAGGAAAGGAAGGCCTAAGAAATAGATACAATCTGGGGGAAAACCTCAATTTATGTATGTCAACTTGTCAACCCCAAAGTATGTCAACTTGAGCCATCAAAATAATTGTGATCGAGCACATTTACTTTAAGCTTCTACTCACCTCATACCTCTAAGACGTATGCAATTCTTCATTGCACAGAAGCAGGATTAAGCTTTGTTTACTGAGGTATATAAGGATAAAATATAGTGGGGGGTTTTCTGTTAGCTGGTCAAAATAAAACTCATGGCAGAGACAAAGCCTGAAGGGTGGCAGCAAACTCAAGCAAAACAGCTTCCTGTACAGGAAGCCCTGTAATCCACGCTACGTTCAGCGTGAGCATCTGCTGCAGCCAGGGATTCTGTCCTGAGCCTAGGTTGGCATTTAGCAGACATTAAATAATACTTTCCTGTCTTGCTCCAAATTAAAATTTTGTAAAGCCTTCTGTAAACACTGGCTCTTGTTTCAAATACATTACACTTCAGGAGGGCTGGCGAGAAGAAACCTTCTTGAATTTAACCCCCACTTTTCAATGCAAAGCAGTAACACTTAACAAGAGCAAGAAAAACCAAGTCGATTTACTTCGGCACAGAATGGGCTCCACAGTACGTTGATGAAATGCCAACATCCATGGACTGCTTAGCGCGTTCAATCACCCGGAGCATTTTAAGCTCAGTTTCCAGGTTTAAGCCATATCCACTCTTGCACTCAACCAGCGTGGATCCTGCTCTGAGCATGCGCTCCAGGCGGTGTTTGAAGGTGGTGAACAGCTCTTCCTCTGTGGCTTCCCGAGTGTGTTCCACAGTAAAATGTATTCCTCCCCCAGCCTGGTGGATCTCCATATAGGATGCACCTGCCAGCTTGAGGGTTAAAAGAAAATGAAAACCAACACTCCCCCCCCCCATACAATTAGCTATTAAATGTGCCTTTTATATACAAGGGATTCTGGAAAGTGTCTTCAGTGTCTTTGCAGTGAGAGAGGAAAAAAATAAGTGGGGTGGGAGGGGAAAGGGGGGAAAGCTCCTTTAATTCTTCTTCTCCCCACTTCTTTCTCCCCACTACTTAAGTGAAGAAATGATTTAAGAAGCAACATAAAGAGAATTACCCTGAAGATTTGCTTTCCCCTGAGCCCAAGGGGAAAACCTATCTCTAGCTCAAAAATTCCTTTCTGTGGAACAGAGAAAAAACGATGGAGATTTAGATGGTAACAGAAGGTTGCAGTCCTGCATTGCTCCATTAATGCAATAATGCATCAAGGCTGGCTGCAAAGGCTGCAGTTAAACTCCTCTCTCAGCCTACTAGTACTCAAAAACCATCCCTCCTCCCACAGTTAGATTATCTGACAGAAATTATAGACCTTTCTACAGCTGAAAAATGGGAGTCAGTAGAAAGCAGAAATAGTTATGCATAGAAAAGATGAAGAAAAATCCAGCTGTGTAATTTTATGCCATTACCTTCATTGCAAACTCATGTACCCTATCACCAGCCCACACTGGGTGTGTATGTGCATCTACCAGGCCTAAAGAAAACAAAGTAAATGGACACTCAGGTTATTTCACTGCGCAAAAGAAAAGCTTACGAACATGCAAGCAAGTGAAACGGAGAGAATCTCCCCTGTACAGCCTCTACTGGTTCAAGAAAAAAAAAATATATCAAAGCAGACAAAAATCTAGGATGTCCTTCAAAGGCTATTAATTTTCTTCCAGTTCTTTAGGTGTGACACCTTATGCAAAACATCTGCAGGTAAGTGCATCAGTTGCTGAGTTTTTCTTGTTGTTTTGATGACATTTTCAAACTGGAAGAAACAACGATTTTTTTTTAAGAGTTTGTTAGACTTTAAGCCTGTGTTGCTTAAAGACAGCAGTATAACACCTTGTGTGCTAACACCATTTACAAGAATTTTGCCCAGGTTTATTTTTTTTAACTGGTAAAGTTCCAGAGTATGTGACTTAAAATCCTGTGCTGCCCTTTTGCCTCCAACTGGCTGCAGGCAGGACGGAGAGACTGAGCTCCATGGCTGAATGGCTGATGGGTGGAAAGGGTAGAGAAGAGATGTGAAGTCACTCGGCAGGCCAGCTGTGTTACTGACATGATCCTACACAGAGGGACAGATGAAAAACAAAACAAGGACAGACAGAGCTCTACCGTGAATGAAAAAAAAAACACAAACCAAACCAAAACATGCCAAATGCTGCAGTTTTCTCCTTGCATCACTCTTGATGAAGCAGCTACAGTATTCTGCCCCTCAACACAAGATACTATCAAACCAGCTCCGAATACAGAGGAAAAAGGATGGAGGGATGTTTCGTACACATTTTCTTTGTCTCCAAGTACTTGCCACCATTTGGCATTGTATCATTATGAAAAAATAAACATACCTGGTAACACACACTTCCCGGAACAGTCAATTACTCTTTCAAAAGTTGCTCCTGAAAACTGATTGCGAATAACATCTGCGGGGCCCACAGCTTTGATGTGACCATCTCTGCAAGCAACAGGCAACAAACAAAGGAAGCATGAACATGCTGGAAAGTCAAATACCCACCATCAGAGCTTCTGGTTCAACAACTCACTGAAATAGGGGGTAGGGACCTTCAGCAGGCCTGCAGCTGCACACAGAAGGTGCCTTGCTAATCTCACAGATGCACAAAGAACAATGGGGTGGTGCCATGCATCTCACATTGGTTGCTATATAACTTGTCTTGCCTTCTGCTTAGATCCCTCAGGATGATACTCTGGTACACTTTAGTTCTAATTTCTGCTACACAACATTATTTTTCTCTTGTAGATCAGTAAATACATAGCATTCCTCTAGCAAGTATCTGCAGGGCATTCTTTGCCTCATAGAAATCAAAACATCATCACCAACCTCCACTGCCTGAACCTGAATCACAGAATCATAGAGTGGTTTGGGTTGGAAGGGACCTTGAAGATCATCTAGTTCCGACCACCCTGCATGGGCAGGGACAACTCCCACTAGATCAGGTTGCTCAACACCAATTTTCTCCCAGCTCTTTTCAAGCCACGGGAATTAGTAACAGGAAGCCATCATCAGTACCTCACTGAAGGTACCTCTGCTCTACAGGGCTGAATCTTTAAGAGGCAAATAGTAGATAGAGCATTTAGAAATGGGAGAGGTGTCATTACATACATTATTAATAATACTTCCATTAATTGCACAAATTATTTATAGGATTGCTATTAGTACATGTCAGTTCACCTAGAAACAACTGAGAGGCAGAAGGCAGCAGCAGTTACGACTGACACTAACAGTTTCCTTCATGAGGCTGGAAGTGGGAATGCAGAGCAGTAAAGGCAGTGATCAGGATATGGACTGGAAGGTCCTGCTCCTGGGTTGAGGCAATCCAAAGAACAATTACAAGCTGGTCAGAGAAGGGATTGAGAGCAGCCCTGAGGAAAAGGACTTGGGAGTGCTGGTTGATGAGAAGCTAGACATGAATCAGCCATGTGTGCTTGCAGTCCAGGAAGCCAAACACATCCTGGGCTGCATCAAAAGAAGCGTGGCCAGCAAATGGAGGGAGGTGATCCTGCCCCTCTACTCGGCTCTCATGAGACCCCACCTGGAGTTCTGGCATCCCCAGCACAAGAAGGACTTGGAGCTCTTGAAGCGAGCCCAAAGCCGGGCCACAAAGATGATCAGAGGGCTGGAGCACCTCTCCTGTAAGGACAGGCTGAGAGAGCTGAGGTTGTCCAGCCTGGAGAAGGCTCCACGGAGACTTTACAGTGGCCTTCCAGCACATCATGAAGGAGCCTGAAAGAAAGCTGGGGAGAGACTTTTTAGAAGTGCATGTAGTGACAGGCCAAGGGGTGATGACTTTAAACTGACAGAGGGTAGATGTAGGTGAGACATTAGGAAGAAACTCTTCACTATGAGAGTGGTGAGACACTGGAACAGGTTGCCTGGGGAAGCTGTGGGTGCCCCAGTCCGGGAAGTAGTTACGGCCAGAGAGCAATTTGTTCGAGCGCCAAGTGTCCCCCCACGGCAGGGGCATCGGAACCACATGATCTTTCAGGCCCCTTCCCACCCAAACCATCCTACTATTCGGTGAGATGATCCTATGAAATAACCAAACCCGCTAAGCCAGGTTAGGTAGCAGCTCAGCCGGGCAGAGGGCAGG